TAATAATGGAGAAATTTGAGTTGACAAGCAGAAGGATAATGTGCAGTATGTGAATGTTTATAGCAAAACTCGGTACTGACCCTGCCTAAAGCTTTGGAAACAGATTTAAACACCCCTTTTAGATAGCATTTAATTATCAAGGGACTGTGTTAAAAAAACTCCACACAAATACATGTTTAACAGCTTGATGTAATGGAAAAACCATTGTTACTCATTTAATGGAGAAAAATCTCTCAAGAATATTTCAAATAGCGCAGCTTAAGTAAACCAATTTATTCCAAGATATCAGCACTTAATTGCATGGTTCTGACCTTGCTGTATAAAGCATGACTCATGAGTTATACTCAAAGTCTCAGTCATATAACATGTTATGCAGAGTCGATAAGAAGATTATGAGTAGACAATACAAAAATATCCATGACCAAAGAAAATTTAAAATCATGCTCCTTCAAACATGGACAATTATTATATAAATAAATTTGCTTTTTTTAAAGACCATTAATCTACCAATATTTGACAATCCATGATCACTTGGAGTCCTTTATCAAGCAAAAAGGGTCGCAAATTGGCTGGTTTCCCCTTTTTAAATGAAGGTTTGTTTCTGAACTCTGGTCTGCAGAGGAAGTTTTAGACTGTTGGTTAGACAAAAGCAGTAATCTGGAGACATCTTTCAGGCTGTGGGAAGGTCCTGAAGCTTTTCAGCCTTTTTAAAGTATTGATTAAACTGATGATTCCTGGTTCCATGGTTACTCTCTCTTCAGTTTCTGATTCTATTCACTGTCCCATCTCTAAAAAAAAGGTATAAGAAGCCCATTAATAAATATTGAAAAAAATGACAATAATATAAAACCCTCAGACAGGGACAGCTGGGGCAGTAAAACTGACTGATGTAACTTAAAGGGAAAGGGTCTGAATTTTACAATTACATTGACAAAAAACTGTATTTAATTTCCTCAAACAAATCATGGCTGATGCCTGAACCACCCGAAAAATTCTATATACACGTACACAGGAACCCAGACATATATTAGGGCTGTCATTAATTAATGCATATATTTTTTAATCGAGATTAATCGCATGCTATTTTGACCCTTTAGGGGCACCGTGGATAAGCCTCCACAGGGTCTCCCTGTAGTCACAATGACGGGAAAAAAACAACATTTGATTGTTAATTCCTTTGGTTGCATTTTTTCACAACTATATATTTCCATGTGTGCATATGTTCATGTATAACTCTCTGAATGAATTTAATAACGCACCCCTTTTTCTTTCTGTACAGATTTGCATGCGGTTTTGTTCACTTGTCTATCTTGTGTGAAATGTAATTGCATTTATGTGTGTATGCTATAGACACCCTTAATAAATGATGAAAAAAAAGACACTCAATTAGAAAGACTGAGATAGCCGTTAATGTTGTAAGTTCAAATAATTGACTGCAGCAGACAGACTCTACAGCCAGCTGAATGCCCCTGGCTGTCTACATTAACGAGACGTTTACATGCATTAACTGGAAAGATGATGTGATAAAACACCACATCATCTTTCACTTAGCGTCACATCTAGAAGAACACCATTTGGTTTTCCCTTCTGTAGCCCACAAACACACATTTAATACCAATCCAGAGCTGAAGTTTAGAAACCTCATTGCTTTTTCATACTACTTCTTAACGTGTAAAACAAACAAAGCATTTGGCAGATGATCTATACATTAAAACAGGATTTAAAAAGCTTGGTGCGTGCAGCAGCATTTGCTAAATTTCTCTAAATGAAAGTGTCAATCATGTTTTTGCCTGGAGACCAGGAAAACCTTTTTGCCTGCACATCAATGTACTCACACATGAATCTTTATTAGCCCCTCTAGGAATTCTGGTTGTTATTTCAAGAATGATTTCAATTCAAATTTATGAACGAATCACAAATCAGTACTTGCTGGATATTGACAGAAATCAAAACCACTTTAAGAAGCACATTTTCAAATGATGGAAATATGTGTACAGTGCAGGCAGCACAGTAAGCACTAAGGTTACCTTATTTTATTCAGTGAAAAATTCAGTTGATGATTAGCCTTGTACATATTAGCCATTGCTTATTTGTTTATTTTTTGTGTTTATTGTTTATTTAATATTATACCTTTGTACAAAGAGAGCACAATTTACCAAAGTAAAATTCCTTGTGTGTTTAAGCAAACCTGGCCAATAAAGCTGATTCTGATTCTGATTTTAACATTTTCCCTAGTAAACAGGGAATGTAAAACAGCAGGAACAGATCATTCCTACTGTATATTCTATTTATATAATCATTAGAACTTAACTTAAATGCTCACTTGGAACAATCTTTCCAAAGTTTACTTGAATGTTGCAACAATTTATCACAAACAACACAATTTGGGCGTTTGGCAGCCATTTTTTACACACAATATCTACAATAGATTTCCACTCACACTCACCAGTGATATGATGTTTAGAAAAAAACAAATAGCACCTTTAATAATGAGCACATGCACTTGCTTTTCCTAACAGCTGTAGGAGTTTCTTTAGTTATTATGGAGCAAGGAGAATATTTCTGAACCCTCTTCCATGAATATAAATTCTGTCCAAATCAAACATGAGACTGCAATGTAATTACTTTCTCTGTAATGCAGCTAAATTTAGCAGGTTATAAATAGTCGCCCTGACACCCTCACAAATTCCCCAACCACTCTAAAATGTATTGAGTGTTCATTTAAAAGTTGATTCAAGTTAAGTGAGTTTAAATGCAATCAAGAAAATCAATCCTTCTAAAAGCAATTGACCGTTCTGTGACACAATTGGCCACTCAATTGTAAAGGATAAATTTCCATTAGGGGCCTCCAGCTTTGAAAGAAACTCATTCTAAATAAAACTGTGTCTCCCTCTTTCATCATTCATCCTCCTTGCAATGCTTATTTGCATTGATCTTGATGTATTCAATCAGGGTGGATATAGACTGAATAAAAAGGTGGACGATTGCTCCCCAAAACTAAAGCCAAAACATTTGGAGCCCCCCCTACTGCAGTATAGGTCATGAGCTCTACCTCCTCCATGTTTAATTATGGGATATGGGGCTAACTATAAAATCATTTAAATGCTTCTTATTACACATTTTTAACACAAGAGTCAGAATCTCTTTTGCCGTGGACCTGAAGGATCTTTGCTGTTTTACCAATAAGTTAAATGTACGTTTTGGTTAGCTGAAGGGGCAGGATGTCATCATAACAGAGTCTACGCAACTCTGGCTCCAAATGATGTCACCAGCGTAATATTTCAGCAAAGGTTCCTTCACTTTTGTACAACGGAAGAAGGCTGAGACATCTCATCCACCATGCATTCTTCTCGTCTTAAAGTCGATGCTTATTGATCCTCAGGAAACAGTTAAAAAAAATGAAGTACTCTTTAGTCAGGCAGATTGACGACACAAAGATTGTCTGGGCTTTGACCAGGAGACAGATTCACAGAGTCCTTGCCCCCAGCATGTCTTTACTTGTTCATTTCAGGATCATTGAGCATCGCAGTGACATGGAAAAGCAGTGTTTCACTGTTGAATAGCTGATCAGCAGCAGTAGGGGAAGCAGCGTGAGCTGAAGGTCACTGCTTGCATAAAATAGTGCATCAAACAGTAAAACTGTTCAGCACACTGAATGGTTTATAGCTAATGTTTTAGATGCACACAAAATGGACATAACATGATCCATGAATGAGAAAGTAGAAACACTACCCATGGAATTTTAAACACATTAATGTAGTTCAGAAGACCCCGCTGCTGAAATTTCATCTATGGGATCCATGTTTGGATTTAGACCTAAAATAAAAGTGCTCAGAGAGTAAGTAATATCTGTTATTGTGAAACTCTGATTTTTAATTTAGCTTTTCTTGTTATGGGGTTAAATAGGCCAATAGTGCAGTGATAAAGTTGGGAATTTAGATACAAGAGGTTATGCTTTGGCTTCAAAACAACCAATTTTCTCTTTATTTTTGGGGTGCAGCTAATTGCTGTCTTCTAATGAGTCTCGTTCTGCTTGAGTTTCTGCCTAATGACAGGAACTTTTTTTCCCGCCACTGTTGCCAAGTCATTGGTAGATGTGGAAATGTTGCGTCTGTCTAAATAATATAGTGTAGACCTGGCTTAACAAAATGCTGTCGAGCAACATGAGAGGTTTTCAAAAGTCCACAGCAATAGTTACTACTGTCAGGCATAGTGAAGGTCACAAAGGGGTTTTTTGGTCTGCATACAGGACAACTGTCTACTTAACATATGAGCTAAAGTTTATATTGAACTAATCAAAATTCAAAAGAATTCTGAAAAACGGATGTATGCAAGCAATACTTTAATCTCTTCTATTGTCTTCATTGCAGAACTCTTCATCAGAGGTAGTTTTGTCAAATTTTAGGTTCCAAATTTGCCAGTGTAGACTCCATCAACTGGACAAAGAGTTGGGGCTTTCACTCCTGAAAACTTCCTGCAATTAACATCCATGTTTGCACAAAACCATCAGATTCTTTCACCATGACCGCACTCAGAGTTTTTCCTGCCAGGCCCCTAGTCAAATTCTCATGTGAAGTCGGGTTGTGCCAATGTGTGAATGCAGCATTCAATGTTCAGGAAAATCACCATGGATGAGCAGGCGAGGATGATGGCATTAATAGCAATCAAAAACAGCAATAAAGGAGCACACTCGACAATAAATAAATATTCAGGTGCACGACCGCAACAAAACTTAACTAGAGACAGAAAAGTCAGCACACTAAATGTCCTTCAAGATTCCTTTATCTTGGTAAGAGTAGTGTGCTGACTTTTCTGTCTCTTATTAATATCAGTCAACCCGTGCAATGGCTTCCCTTCCTACAGAGAAAGTGTTCTGCTAGGAGATGCATATGTGAACAGGTAACTCAGGAAGAGTAACTCAGGAGTGCATGTGTGAAAAAGACTGACTTATTTAAACACCTTTAAAAGTATCTGAATCCTATTTCTCCATGGGGACTAACCTGGTCTTCAAAGGACAAAGCCTGTCCGACGTCACGTGGAAACCCATCGATAACAATCCCACTGGCATCCGGGATCTTCATGATCTTCTGCTTGATTTCAGTTATTGTTGTTTCCTGGAAAATAAAGGAAGAACATTTACTCAAAATTATCACCACTTAATGCCTCAGTTTGTTTCTAAATGTCAAAGGAGCAGAAAGATTTCTACAGCTTTATGGTAAAACAATTACCACATCAGTTGCAGTTCATTGGATTTGTGGTCAATTTACGTAACTCAACAATTAGCCATGTGCTTCAATGTCTGGCATCCCAAACTCTCATTTAACATCAGACAGTTTTCTGACTTCTGACTGACTCTGGCATTTGAGAGATTTCATCAGCAATTTATTGAGCAATGAAAGTAGCGTGTTGTAATCACAAGTGGTCTGCTTTATAAGAGAGTATGAGGGATGACTTCAATGTATTAGTGTTGCTTGAATTCCAAGGTTGCAGTTTAGTTAAAACTCCTTGAAAATGAATGAGCAGCTGATTCAGAGTCATAAATAATAAAACGAAAAATATCAAAAACCTATTGGAGAATTCCACAATACAATAAATCTGCTTATCCAATACATCTGTATGCAGCAGAACAAATGTTTTGACTGCACTTGAGGCCACAGAGTGCCAGCATCCTTTAGCATCAATTACTTCCCCATGGCTGGAGGAGGTCAGCATGTTGGAATGTATTTCTCAGGGCAGAATGCATCATACGATATGGCAGAGATACGTGAGCAATGCTCTGCTCTATAAATAACTTCCATCTCTGGCCGTGCCTAATGCTGAGTATAACAGATGTTTAATTTCCCTCCATTCACAGAATATAAAAGCAGCCACCTGACAGACCACAAAGAGATTACATTTATACAAACGTGGATAGATAGATGAATGCATGCAAGATAAAGTAAGAAATGCTAATCCAGGAAAAGCCATCTGATCCACTGCATGGCTCGATGCTGAGCTCCCACAAGAATACCAGGCATGAGACACTCATCTATTACTGCCAGAGAGATTGTGATCTCTCTTTAACAGCACCACAGACAATCCTCACTGCAACAACGTCCAACATACCTAACTCATTCAGCCCTCCTTTTAAACATTGTAGTCAACTCAATGGAGACCACTGCACTGACATTTTAAAACCAAAATGTGACCAATTGAATCTTCGCCTTCTAAGTATCCTCTTTATATGACACAAAACTTAGCCATCTCTTTCAATACTGGTAAGTCACAGTCAAGCTCAGTGAAAACCAATGGGCAACCCCTTTGGTGTTGGAAAAATGCAGTCAATGCGGAAGCACAAAAAACTGCAAAAAAATGTTTCTTTGAATGTCCACCTGAGCCTGACTCCAAATCCAAAGAATCTCCATTAGAGCCATATAAAAATGCCCATTTTTACAGCAAAAATAATTTCACTTAATTTCACACCTTTATTTAAGCACTTGATATCATTGAGGTTTCTCTCATTTACAATGATGTCAAGATACAAATCAACAAAACAAAAATGGCACAAATAAAACAAAGACAGTTTTGGTTTCTATAGCTCATCTCTTTGTTGTTTTAAACTAAACTAAACTCAAATTTATTTTAAATAACGCATCCTTTTAGATTATGTATGAGTATGCATCATCAGGGGCTTAATCTTGTTACTGTTGGCTTTGTTCATGTTGTTTTCATTGTTTGGAGTATGTATATGAGTTTGACAAGCTAGCTGCCATGTTTCAGCAACCAAGACATCCATTCATCCCTCCTGAACCCCACCTCTTCTTCTCAATTAGCCAGTAGTTAGTTGGAGTCAGCATTTCCAATATGGTGAACATCATCTTTGGGCCTCATGATGCCTCTTAAGAAACCAATGGTTGACATCACTTAGACTATACATCCATGTTTTATACAGTCGGTGGTGTCCATACAGCAGTGTATCAATCTTCCTATCTAACTTGGAGCATGATGCCTAATAACTGTTGATCATTTTACAGCATTTTCTGATTTCAGTTGTTACAAAAAAAAGAGCTGTGAAACATGTTTCAAGACATCATAAAACGACATTAACACATTGCTCTAATCAGAGCTGCTGTTTAAAGCCTCTGAGTAACAGTCAAACTCAAAGAGGATTTTTCCTTTCTTTGTCATCCTTACATACGGGATCATTTAGAAATCATTCTAATCTGATTTGAAGGACTAATCAAACTTCTGAATGAAATGCCACAAGTCACCGTCTCATTTCCAAAATGTCTGCAGCTTGGATGACTCTGCTGTTTATCTCACCGAAAAAAACAGCCTGAGGGCTGATTTGATGATGTGCCAGACAAGGCAGGGAGGATAATTGATGAGGTAAACCAGTGTCCAAGACAATTCATGAGGGGACACAAGTAAAAAAAAAACAAAAAAAACTGCCAGTCACAAGGCAGCCAGGCTGTCGGGATTGTGGTACCTAATTGGAACACTAACGCATCATGGCTCCTACGTTGACATAAGGACCATCATTTCCTGGCTTTAATTTTGTCAATAAAAGTTTAATACCAGTTCATATATTACTTAAACATCATGATTTACCAAAGTCTTTATCACACATTTCAGCCATTAGTCTTCCTCAGGCCAGTTTTTGTAACTACAAACAGATGAATGGGTAAAGGGAAGTTATGAATATAGGATGAAGGACGACCCTGATGGGTATGTATTTATGTTGTACAAACATGAATAGGCTATCTTAGCTGACCATTTATAAGCATATGTAAGCCTTGATTAAAAATATCATATTTTTTAGAATAAAATTTATATTTTGGCTACAACGAACATGCAGTTTACATTGGTCAGCTATGGAAATAACCTTGATATAAAAACCTTGGTGGCAGTCTTTCACTCTTCTTTAGCTTGTTATAAGATGGACTGAAATAATCTTATTCCTGATGGCCTTGGTTGCTATTGTAGGTTAAAAAGAGCATCAGGAATAAGATTATTAGTATCTACTGTACATAGTCATGTTTAATGCTTGTAGCACTGCCTACTGGTAGGTGTCAGACAACATGAGTTACAGCCCACGGCAAAGGCCTGTTTTAACATTTTTCCACTATTGAACATGAACTGGACAAGATCAGCAAAGAGATGAGTTATTGCTTTGTCCACAGAGGGCGCCAAAATCAACGCAAACCAAAAGTTCTTCAGAGGAGCTTTAAAACTTGATAACTTTAAAGTGATGGCTGTCTGGAAGAAGAAACCCATTTAAAGGAGTTATTTACATCTTTAGATTTTTGGTTTAGGGTTCAGCTGGTCTTAATGCATTTTTAAATCACCATTGTAATCTCAATTTTGTACACATATTGAAATGAGACATGTGAAGCTATTATCTGCATTTTCTACACAGTGTATGAAGGGGCTGTGCAAAAACAACCACAGGTGGTCTGAGCCTCATTTTCTTCACAGGCAGAGTCATTATCCTGCAAAGAAGGATGCTAATAGGACGGATAAGAAACCCTCTCTGCTGCGTGCCTGTGATTTGGATGCTGCTAATTAGTCCCTTGTTACACACACATTGTGATAATGACCTGCATGAGACTGGACACACTCTGCGCCCCTCTTTTCTCTCATATCCAAACACTCCCCCTTTCCACCCTGTCTCCACTGTTCCTCTGCTACCTGTGGTGCCAGCTCTCCGTTGGTGATGATTTTGGCGATGAGGCTCCACTTTCTGTTGCTGGTGGCGTTGTGGATCATCTTCTTCCTCAGCAGCTCGCCCACGGACACGTACTGGAAGCCATAGCGCTCGGCAATCTTCAGGCACTGTGTTCCTTTGCCGCTGCCAGGGCCACCTAGGCACAGAGAGAGAGAGAGAGATGGTTATGTTTTGGGAGAAATGTATCGTGGTGCGTGTGAAATGTGTCTGTGTGAGTGTGAAACATTGCATGTGTGGGTGTGTGAGTGTGGGCGAGTGTGTGCACCAGGGGAGAGAAACCCAGACTATGTGAGACTTTTTTGTGTGAGGGGTTGTTTGTGACAGTGTGTGTGTCTCTCTTCGTGACTGTATGTTTCTGCTTCTGTGTGTTTGCAAGTTGAATTCTTTGCAGGGGAGGAGGGCAGGTGGGTGACGGTAGCAGATGAGACAAACAGGTGTGTGTGAACCTCCTACGTGTGCTAATAAATCCTCGTCTTTTTACCTCTCCTTCTCTCCACTTGAAAAAGGAGATGCAGAGGAGCAACAGCGGGTGTGGCCAGCTCTTAGTTTGACTCTGGATAGTTTAAAAAGCATCTTTATAAAGATCTTTCCTAATCAAGGTAATAACTGTAAATAAACAATATCAACATAATACAAACTTTATAGTAAAACAAAGTATAAACCCAAACAAAAGAAAGAGGCTTTACAAATAAGACAACTCAAACTGAATTGTTTTGTGTACACAATAATTAAAATCATAGAGGATTTGTGTTAAGTATTCGTCTTCGTCATGTCTGTGCCAACATCTACAATTACTAAACTGTTGTTTTGCCCAGGGGATTTTTGTGGCTACTGACACAAGCAAACTGAGTGACACATATCCCTTAAGGCTTGTCTTTTGTAGATGGTGCTGGTTACTCATCTTTTGTATTTGAAAAAGGTTATTTTTTAATGGTAGGATGTTTTGAGTTTGTATTACACAGTGATTATTCTGGCCCCTTTGCTTCTTGCCCAGGTATTCTATATATACCGGTATATATAAAAAAGAAACTAAAGCTAACACTTTAACTAATAAAAACTGAACTTCAACTGAGCATTTAAAACTAAAATAAAATTACAAAGCTTTTTTTAAACACAACAGAAATTAAAAACAAGAAGTCAAAATGAAATAAAATTTACAAGGAATCATACATGCTAAACCTGTAGTCTTATAATCACTTGTTTAAACATCTTAATGTTTCACTAAAAATTCCTGCAAAAATAAAAACTGTACAGGTCAAAGCAATATGAAATGATAGTTTGGATTGAGATTTCCATTAATGGTTCCAGTTATCTGGATTTCCGATCGCTGTTGATAGTAAATGTAGGCAATTGAAACAATAAATTTTTCTGCATGCAATAAGCCAAGTCCTCCTGCTATTTGAATAGTGCCTACATGTACCAGGATGCATTGCGTTTGAGCAGCTGCATACTTTACTATGTTATTTTGACTTTAAAGACGCAGTAGAAATCCACACTGAAATAGCTTGTTGTATATAAAATACATCAATTGAAGGCACCAGCATCAAATGTATATAGCTTTGCTGAACCATACCCGAGAAACCCAGAGAACATGTAACAACTGCAGGTTTGTCCACACTATAGGCTTTACTCTGATAGGTTAAAAAATGTGAAATTCCCCTTTAATGGTGCCAGATAGACGAGCTGTCAGTTTGTGATGAGGCATGAATAAGTGCCTGTAAAAGCCATCTGACAAACTGAACGCGGTTTTGCTGTTAGACGAACAGGATTTCAGAGATGCTACAGTAACTACTGAAATGTCAAATCACAACAAAATTGCTTGGGGTTGAAAGGCAAGATGGAGGTCAAATTTGTCTTAGAACAGACTGTGCAGGTTACTTTTTCCATCTTGGAAATGGTGTTTGAGATTTCAAACATTTATAGTGAAATAAATGACTACAAATCAGTGTTCGTATAGGTCTATAGGTTCTATCTGATGTTATTTAGAAGGTTGAATAGTTATAATGAAGGTTGTGTAATGTGTTTAAAGGTCAATCACTCTCCCACTGTGTGCAGAAGCTTGTCAGGTGTGCAGATGTGTGAATGTAGGCACAGTTAACATTTCTTGTCCCTGTCTTCACACACTTACCTCTGTCACTTAGCATATAACAAAATGCACAGAATGAATGGCTCTGAATAGACTGTCATACATAAGGTCCAAAGCATCATGTTCATTCTCTGACAGCAGGCTTTTTGACCCTCTGTGGTGGGAAACCACGTCACATGACCCCGTGTGTGTGACGCACACTGAGGCCTTAAGAGATTGAGTTACTTTTCATGGCTGCTTTGTTTGCTGAAAAAAATAGGCAACTAAAAAACTCTAATGAATATCTAGTTTCTTTCAGCTTGAACAAAGCGGCAACCTCTGATGTTGAAAAATGAAGCCAATGTGAAAGTGCAAAAAAACTGCAGATCCTCCAAAGAGTCCACTTGAGGGCAGGCTCAAAAAACCAAGGAACCCCCGTAGAGCCAGTATTAAAATGTCCATTTTTATAGCAGAAATAAACATGTTTACAGTCTGGTATAAAAACCGATTTGGTCTCTAAAGCTCATTTTTATTATTGGTAAAAACTGTTAGAGGGATGATTTTTTTTATAACTTATATGATTTGATAATATTAAGGGTAAGAGGGTTTCATAAATGAGGGGGGATTTGACTTACAGGTGGGCGGGTTGTAGACCCCTGCATCAACTCAACCTCTTTTCGAGAGACGACTGACATGTTTTATACAGCCTGTTGTTGAAACAAAAGCAACTCGCACAGGGCTACGTCGGCCTCGCCTTAAACTTATCTGTAAGCATCTTCTTATAAATAACTAAGCTTTAGAGATTCTGGGGGGAATTTGATTTTTTTTTTACCTATGCCATAAGCCTTATGTTATCCTGTTTTATCTTTTGCTCATTATATTTTCTGTGTAGACAAAAGGACTGCTTTGCATACATCACCACAATAGAGATATTTTGAATTTAAAATGAAACCATGCCAATAGAGAACATTATACACTAGAAGGGAAGAATTTCAAGCCAGTATGCTATCTGAAGAATGAAGAGCATTTCGGTAACCACATCTGTTTTTTACTTTTCTTTAACAGGTTGCCAAAGAAAATCCGGCAGTCAGCAGAAACATGTTCAAGGCTGAGGTCTGCACACTGGACTCAGATCTAGAGCAGCGGTGGTTTCTTCTACATATTTGGTAGCTGGTGCTGGATGTGGTGTGTTTGTAGTTCTTCCAACAAATGCTTCTGACCATTGGGAAATTAAATCTATAACTGAAATAGTGCGGTAAAAGCTAGGCTTCACTTCAATCTACATTTTCAAGAGAATGACCACAGTTTTTAACAATGTAACCATACAGTGTGGCTCTTGGGAGAGCAGTACAAATATCGACTCCCTTTCCTGTTCAAACAGTGAGCCAGTCTGGTCGTGGTTGTGTAGGAGAGGAAGATGAACTGCTGCCAACATCTTTGGAAAGAAGTCAAGTTTTAAAAGGAAAATACATGATTTTGGCTGCTGGCAGAGGGCCTTTTCTTTGTTCGGTATTAAGTTAGTTCTGCAAGACAAATTTAATTGGATAAAACTCATCCTGGGTTTGGGTCCAAAACGCCAGGCTAGCTACTCTATATACTAGCATTGATTACTTCCTGCTGAAGCTTCATGTTAAAAGCACATAGAGAAAAACACTCTTCTTGAAATCTACATGAGAAGAGCTTCTCCCAGATTTAAAAGCATCTCCTTTAAAATGCGTCCACTGATCATTTCTAACCTTGTCATTATTAAGGCCATCATCTCCTACTTAGTTTCACCTTTCAGCTCTTTCTATATATGTAAAGGAAATAATTGTGACACATTTGACAGCTAACACAAGCGATGCAGACGTACCATAGCTCAGTTTAGTTTAAAATAATTAGAATTTTGCGGGCAATATCAGCACCCTCGAACAGTCAACCTGAAATACAGTTCAAAGCCGCTGTTTTTTCACGATCTTCTCAGCTATCCTTGTAACTGGGGTTTCTCTGTTAATTTAAAAGATACCAATAGATTTCACAACATATTCTCAGAATGCAAACATGTAAGGTTTTCAGTGTAGAAAGGGGATCAGAGAGATATGCTGATGTATTTTTAGCAAATGTGCACTTTATCTTAGAGTGTTTCATAATATTTGACCTCATCCCCTCCCAGGCTCTTCCTGACCAAACGTATCTTTGTCAGTCTCTCTCTCTCTCTCTCTCTCTCTCTCTCTCTCTCTGCAAACCTGACGGACAAAAACATTTGCCTTGAACCTCCAAAGAGATGACAGCTGCTGCCCCCCTGTTCTATTCCTCTAAAATCTGGCACACTGTGCTCACAAAGACAAGAGCAGAACTGGCTTTGTGCTGCAAGGACAAACAACTGTCATCAACACTATAGCCAGAGTCCCGAGTCCACCCTGGGAAGCCCAACATGATGTAGCAGAAGCTTGTCATGCAGCTTTTAGAGATAAACCTTAAAGAAACTATTTTAAAGAGGGAAATCAGCTCAACCAGTGTCATTGCTCTTATTGCATGGCTGACATGCGTTATTTATAAGATTAATGAATGTATATTGTGGGTTAATGCAGGTCCATCAAGGAAATCAGATTAGGAGAGCGTGAGTGTACACAGTGAGTGACATGCCACAAAATCTCCCCCGCTGATACCCACAGAGATAGTGCACACACATACACACAGAAGTACATTCCCATGCAGGTCATGTATTTTTAGATCAAAACTGAGGCAAAAATAAACTTTAATTTAGTATTTTGTTGACTTTTTTTTATATAAATGGATAAAGCTGCTGTTATGAGAAGCATTACGAGGCAATGGCTTCACTGTTTGTTTACATATGAAATGATACACGACCTTACCGTTTCTAATGGAAAACATGAGTCTGTAGGAATCCAGATTATGCTTCAAATCTATGAGACAACACTCAATGAACTATGGACTGTGTATATGTGAAGTGGGCGTAGCAAACATAATGTCCCCCACTGGTTTGCAGAGCACACTTTGTATCCTTCCTGTATCCCTTCAATATAGTCAGTGGTAATGCTAGTTGCAATGCTAAATAAACATCATGATTTAACAAAAAACTCAATCAGTTATGAATAATATCTGTAGGGATGTACACTCAGCATCTTGATTGTGCATTCTCTCTTTTTCTCTTTTTAGCATCATCCATTATCGTCCTCTTCCATCTCTTAGCCTCAGGCCCTCAGCCATTATATCGAGATGGGCTAATTGCCTAGTACTGTAAAGCAGGCAAACAGGTGATCTGTGTATTGTACTGTACATGGGTACATGTTGCTTTAAGCTACTGTTAGATAACAGCTAATGTTAGCATCAGGTGTTTTCTAATCGTAATATTTGCTGCAGTTATGTTGGACAGCAGCAATTTAAGATAGGAGTGGTTGAATGTTTCCTGTTGTGACTTATCTTTATCTGCCACCTGATGTCCCTCAAAATTTCCACCATCCGTTTCCTTTTAACTTGCTGATTGATAGGAAGGTGTTGAAACAATAAATACATACAAATCAGATTTGCGTCACTGATGTGATCTGCAATCTAGGAAAACTGCAGTAAAACATAAAAACAGCATTTGAACTTGACACCCTGAGCATGACATGAGAAGAAAATTGCTGCCATCTGAACATAGTGACTAGAGCCGTTTGTCATGTCAGGGGTATCATCCTTTTAAAGTGCACATTGGAAGACTGATTGTGTCACAGCAGCGCGTTGAAGGCATTCCCATTTTGAAGTTTCCATCAAATGTAGCCGTCAAATGTGGATCTATCCTCCGATCCTTAGTTGCCCATCATATCTTGAGATTCGTTACACGCCTATTTAAACATGATGGCGGACTTGCAAGCGATGATTACACTTTTAATAATACTTTGTTTCAACAAAGCTGAAAGAAACTAGAAACAGACATATTTAAAAAAGAAAAGGGGCCTGGAAAATTTAAATTATATATTAAAAAATAGCTTACATGAATTTAGTTACGTTAGCTAGTTTTGGTGCAGCTGCCAAGGTTGCTAGGCGACAGGAGCAGTTTTTAGAATTGAAAGGGTAAGGGCTGGAACAGCTGAGGACTCAGACAAGAAATCCTCTGTAGACCAGACTGTCTCATGTCAGTGCATCTACGCAGGCTATGAAGGCTATAGGGTCCTTTGTAGGCTGGGTCCTTTGAAAGATGCCTCCCTTGAATTGGGACAAAGCTTATGATTTATTTTGGATATCCAGATATCAGGATGGGGGTCCTGCCCAATAGAAAAAATGGACATTGGCTGCACGTTAATTCGAGAGGCTGTGTCCACCTATTGTCTACTATCCTTAATTTTTGCCTCTAAGTGTCAGCTGACTGTGATGTTTAGGGAACTTAAATATTTTCAGTATGAACATTTCAGATGTTTTTGTTTCCACGTGTTGTGCTGGTACTTTACCGATAACGAGGATGACTTTTGGTCTTGGTCTGGACGGATCAAACACCTCGTACTCCTCTATGAGCTCCGCTGTCTCCGACAGGTCTGAGTCGCTCTCAATGGAAAACTGGCTGATAGGAGGGAGGCGGTCATAACGTCTGTAGGGAAAGTTGGGACTGTCTGGCAACACTGGAAAAAACACAAACACACAAAAGTATCGGTGAGAACCAGTTTATCTGTTTTTGTCTGAAGCATTGCTGGAGACATGTTTTTCTCCCCACAGCCTGAAGATCTAATAAAACCTTTAAGGCCTAATGAATCCATTCACTCATGTGTTATGAGTTTGTCTGACAAATAGGAGAGTAATTGTGTGTTATCAATCAGGTACAGAGGCAAATCACAAGTCCCATTTCAGAACTAAAACACAAAACTAGATAGAGATAAGCCTGTTGGAACAAACAAATTGTTGAGTTTTATGAATAATCTGTGTTTGCTGGCAATTTGACTGCGGCTGCTTGCGATCAAAACACTAATTATGGCGTTTACTAAGAGATACAAATCATTACTGCCTGCTAGTCCAAGGAAGCAGAGCTGCAGATATTAAATGTTGATTCACATTTAATGCGGAGGATTGTTTTGATCATTTGGGTTTTGCGGAATCTAAAGAGAACAGATAAACTATGTTATAAAAATATATAATAACACACAAATTGTCCTTATTAAGATGAAAACATTTTGGAAAGCACACAAAAGATTGCAAATGAAAGCAAATACTGCACTGCCTGTTACAATCTACACCAGTTTCCCCCTGAAACAGTCAATCAAGGCAAGAGGGTAAACTTTTCACAAAGCAAAAGAAGTAATTGATTTGAAACATCACAGATTTGAGCCTCAGCCTTCATCCCAGAGATGATTTGTGTGATGTAAGAATATTTTTCACTGACTAGGCTGCAGCTCCCAGCAGCCAAGACGCTGCAGATGGTAAAGATTTCAGGCTTCTTTACAAACATGTGAGGATAAGTGGGATAAATGGGAATTTCTAGAAGCAGGCGGCCTTCAACTTTTCAAGAAGATTCTTCTTTTTTATAATCTTCTCTTCATGTATGCATGGTTCCTCTTCCTCAGTGATGTGCCTGTAAGCTATAAAATGCAAAACTCTCACACACATATCATTGGTCTATTTTAACCTCATGCACATCTCGGCCTTGCTTCATCAGACAAAGGAAGGTCTGTTTGAATTCAAAATAGAGTCAATTAAACTATGCAAAAGTCAAATATAATTAGCATATGAGCTTTGCCCATGCAACTAATGTAAATGATAAACTTCACAAGTTCATCTGACATTGATCTGCCTATCTGGCTGAATAGAGAGTATATGATGACTGTGTTGGAGTTTGGCCTTTCTTTAATTAAATCCTGTGGAGACTAAATATTTTTAAGATGCAATTTCATACTTCAAAAACAAAATCGTGACAACTAAAGGAACAACTAACTTGATTTCTTCTCTTTTCCAACCAATATAAGGCTAACGTGTTAAACAGTCATATTTTTCAGTGCAACATTTATAATTTCCTTCTTAAATTAGGTTTCATTCTATACAGTGGCTGCTAACTAATCCAACAGTCTGTGAAGGCTGCACAGACATGGTCATGGCTGAGAACAGCACAGCAGCCCAGATTTGAAACAGCAGCAGTTGTTGCTTCTACACTTTGCAGCTGGTGCTTTGGATGTGGTGTGTTTTTGTTGTTTTGGTATCTCAACAAACATTTCGGACCCTTTTGAGGGAACCGAATCAATCATAGAGTGGTGATGCAAACAGCTGCGATTCAAACTTTTCCTCTAGAAATCTCTCAAGGTCTTCTACTTGTTTTCACACAGTTTTTTTTACAATGTATCTACAGTGTGGCTCTGGGAGAGCAGTGCAAATATCGACTCCCTTTCCTGTTCAAACACGGATCCAGTCTGGTCGGGGTTGTGTAGGAGAGGAAGATGAACTGCTGCCAAGCATCCATGGAAAGAAGTCATATTTTGGCTTCTAGCAGCTTCCTTCACCCTTGATTAAATTAATCAAACATAATGGGATTAAACAGTGTTTATATACTTCTGTGTTTTAGGTCCACAGTGTTGGGTTGTATCCACCTGGAGGATACAAATTGATGCTGGATGTGTTTTAGGGCTACAGCAATATTAAACTTTTGGATTAATCTGCAGAATTATTTATTTGTATCAATTGGTCTTTTAGAGAAGATTGCCAACCTTCCAATACAAACCACCCATTCTTATATCTGCCACTTTTGACCTCTCCATCTGTGTTAGAAGCTTACTTGGCGGCCATTTTGCTCAATGGAGGAAAAGGGGAGGTACCCCTCATACCTCAACACATAGAAGATTGAATCCAGTCTCCTTCAGAAAGGGAGGTTTAAAGCTAATGTGGCTATATTACGACTCTTTATCAACTAAGGTTGTCTCATTTTGTGATGCTTTTTGATACTACGTGTTTAAAAAAAAAAAATACAATCTTATTTTGAGGACTGATAATGTCATAAAGAACCGAAGCTAATACAGATCTCAAGTTACAATCCGTACGTTGTCAATGTTTTTGTGCAATTTAGACAGTGTGCAGGAGTGTGCTTGCATTTTTTGCAATTAATTAAGTTTCAAATATGCTGGTTTTGAAATCCATAAACCCACTAGCCTGATAGTTGCAGCTTTTATGTGTCTTCACCGCTCTGTACACCCAGCATGCACTGCTCACCATTTCTGAAGAGGGACCTGCGTGATTGGCCGCCGTTGAGAGGAGGAAGTGACTTCTTCTCCTGTCCCACAAACGTATCCCACCGCACCTTGTCCGGTCCTCCGAGCTCGGTGACTTTCTTCAGGCAGCCCTCCAGGTACTCGATGGGGTCGTCGGGTCGGTAGTACATCAGACCTGTCAGCAGGCTCTGAAGACAAACATGGAGTGTTGAGGTACAGAGGGAATGTCAAGACGTTTGTTCTAGTATCACTACAAGTTTTATTTATGATGTGTTCTGCTGTATAGGGTTAGAACAGCCAGTGTTAATGAGGGGAAGTTTTGAAGTGCAGATCTGGTTGCCTCGGCTCCACCAGGGAAATGAAACATCTCATTTTTACAGTCTCCACAAAAAATAGACATCCAGATGAACTGAAATTATCAAGGAGGAAAGCCAACCACAGTGATGAATGTGAGGGCAAACTTGTTGCCAAAACACAAGACAAGTGCATGTTTGTGTGACATTTCTTCCGCACAACCCTGAATACATCACAACGATACCTTCCCCTGAGAATCCCTGTTTCATCTCCGCCCTCACAGTAGCAATCCCTCCAACAGCAGAATGTACTGCAAACACAAAGCTTCTCCCAAATGAAAACAATCTCATGTACTAATTTAACTGATTGATAATGAAGTGTGAGCAGTAGACTAACACTGCACTCCCTGATGATGGAGTGTCACCTCAGCTCAATTTCATCTGCCTGTAAATAAACAGACAGTGATTGCTTGCTTTAGCTGCATTACAACTGAGGATTGAGCTTAATTAAGGGTACTGGCCAATTTAAAAATCCCCTCAGGAGAATGAGAAATACTTTATTATTACATTTCTCTAGGTCTGTCGATCCAGCTAAATAGAGCAAGTTTGTAACGGCTTGCTTTGATTTCATCAAAGCGCTCATCTTGAATTATACCTCTTAAGACTTCACCTACAGACATTTTTAGACACCTTTTCATACTCCAGAGAGACAGGGATCTACCACAATTAGAAATAAATTGACAACAAGTAACACTGACTTAAATTGACTACACAAATTAAAAACTTTACTTCAAAGAGAAAAAAAAGAGTTGGCTTAAGAGACAGAAATCCTCTACTGCTATAAAATTACCACGAAATGAAACAAACTAAGAAGAGACACAGGTTGACCATACCAAAAGAATCCCGCACAGAAAGAAACAAGTAACAACAACAAACTACAAAGACAAACACACTGACCACACAATAAAGGACGGTGAAATATGAACTCAGTGAGATGTCGTATGATTATGTTTCATTGCATTTACATTTTACTTCTAAAATGAATATTTTTTGTACTATGCAACAGCCCTTTATTTCTACTTTTCATGATAACAGACGGCATCTTCTGCTGCACCTCTGCCTCTATTGAAAAACAGTTCTGTTCTGGTGACGAGTAATTCACGGCTTCTCTCATTTTTGAGTACGATTTTAAAGTGGAAAACAAGTGTCTGTACACTACTATGTTGATCCCCTCAGTGAGACGCGCCGCCACTAACCATAAAAAGATGTATTTTGTATCATAAATAGTCCTCAGCTATCCGACTAGTGTGTTTCATCGGTTAATTTCTGTGTAAAAGAACACGCTGGGGAATCTTCTCGATCACCTTTCTTTTTCTCTTAGAAGCGCATCTCTCACCTCAAACAGTTGAGGTATCTCCCGCCGCGCGAGATACTCCTTGGCATCGTTGGTATTCATCTCCAGCCGGATTTCTTCTGAAATCACAACTTGTCCAGGGCGTTTTTTTTGTGTGTGTGTGTTTCTCTCCTTCAGTCGCCCAAGTGCCGTACGGTAACCTAATCTTTGTTAACGAAAGAAAGCTCAACACAGTTATCCTCTCAGTGCATTTTTGCCTCGTGTGTACACTTTACAACTGAATTCCTGCAGGCAATGCCACCGCGCCACCCTCCTCCTCCTCGGTGATGCGGATGCGTGACTCCTCCGTCTTCCCTCCTACAGCGCTCTGCTTCCAGAACGCGCCGTGTGTGTGTGTGTGTGTGTGTGTGTGTGTGTGTGTGTGTGTGTGTGTGTGTGTGTGTGTGTGTGTGTGTGTCTATGTGCGTGCGTGTGTCGCGACGTTGGCACAGAGTGTGCTGGGCCAAAGACGCACGCACGCACCTCCTCTGGTCACTGATCTAATCTTTGATTAAACACAAGTCATCAATTTATATGCAGAGTTCTGTATCTCTGTTATCTCTTAGTTGCTTTTATTTTGTTATCTCTGAATAAATCTAGGACGCACATTTAGGTCATTTTGAATCTTAAAAAATAATCTTTGCTTAGCTTTGTTTATTTACGTAGTATTTCTGATTTTTTTTTGTTGCATTTTTGGTTCACCATTTATATCATTTTTCCATAAATGAGACTTTTCTGTATTGATTATATAAACTTTTCACTTTTGTTATTTGGATATTATTGTCGTAATTTAGAAATTTGCATATTTTTGGTCATTGACACACTTGAAGGTCCACTAAATGTTTAAAGCTTTCAATGACATTAACTTTGTCAGCATATTTTTATTCATTGCTTTGGTGATCAAAAATAAACTCTGAAGCTTTTAAAATAGTGTTTTTGCCATAACGTGCAAGTGATGTTTATGACTGACTGACTGAATGAATGAACCTTTATTTCTACTAAGGGAATTTGCCTTGCACCAAGATAACTTGAATAATGGAAACAAATTTATTGCGACAAAAGCATGTCTTTCTATCAGAGCCTGGTTCAAACTGAAACATTGAAACCATCCAGACCAGCCAATTATAGCTACATGGTGGCTCACCACTAACTTGCATAACAATGTGAGGCCTGTCTTTATTTTTGGCAACGGATGGAAAACAAACAGTTTAAAAGTTCCACTGATCATGACAAATGCTTTTTTTAGGTAACACAAGTAAGGCCTGTTTGATTTCTTGGTTAGTCCCATAGGATTGGACCCTTATAGGCCACTAATCCTGTTGGCAACTGCACACCAGTTGATTATATCACAGAACAACATTAGATTAGCTCTGTGACATCACTTTGTTTGTACAAATTCACGAATGAGCAAGAATCAGTCACTGCAGAGGACAGTAAATGATAATTTGTGAATCCGAAATGGAATACTGATTAGATTTATGTGACTGCAGACTATTCTGCTGGACTATTATGCATGTTTTTTTTTCTATTTGTAATGTGATGTATTTGTAAGTAGGCATTATCATGATGAATTCTGTGCAGAGTTATTGATTCTGCAAGAAGCAGCAGAGGTAGAAGGTGTCTGGAGAATTTATAGTGGTCTGTTGACCTGAAAGGTGCCCTGCAGAGTGTCAAAACCAATTTTAATACTTATTTTCTGCCACACTGTGTTGTTGCTTGTATGATACTTAAGAATTGCATCAAGGGTAACTTTAAGGCTGCCATGACACTTGCATTGCTTCGACAGTGACATGACATTCAACATCTGCTGCCTGTGATAGTCATGTCACTTCTCATTGCAAAGGCTCTTACCAATAAGCTTGAGAGGACATTTGAACATGAGGTTTTGATATATATATTTCAAATTCAGATCGGATCAAAGGGAAATCTCAAAATATTTTTTGTTGGTGTGTCAAAAATGATGAACAATGATGATGTAAAATTTCTTGATTAACAATCAACTTAAATAATTATTTTTCGGCAATATTACTCAATACAACTCCAGATTTTCAGATCCATTTATTTATTTCGGTTACTTATATTTATGTGTTGACTTAAACTTGTTATGCAATGTATTTTTCTCATGCATATCTAGTATGTATCTGTGATTTATGCAATTATTGCTTTGGAAAAATGTTTGACCAAGCTATAAGATTTATGTACTCTGTATTTTAGATGGGGGATAAAACATGTCAGAATATTATCCTGACCATAGACTGCATGGACTCCAAACAATATCTTAAACGGTCTATGCTCTGACCTATATTCAATTTAAATGATCGGATAAATATGGTGTTTTAAGTGTCTTTTTTTAGAGATTGTGTAAAAGCTTTGCCAAAATACATCTTGGCATTTCACCCTGAGGTAAAAAGCAGCTTATTTGGATCTTACAGGCACTTTATTCAGTTATAAATGATGTTTTTTCCTTCTCGACCTCCTCAATATATGTAAGATTTTATTTTGAAGCGTCTCTTACCGGAAGCAGTTGGTGGGTGGAGCCACCGGTGTTCACTTCCTTGTTGCTGAAAGCTAACAGGGCTGCACAATGAAAATATTAACTTTGTTGAGCTTATGGTCCACATACTTATTAGCGGACAGCAGTAACATTAAGGTGAGTGTGTATTTATTACGTACAGCCATAAATATACCGCTAATTTCTTTATTTTTATGTCCAGTTTTACGTTTTATACCGTGTTTTCATGTCAGCCATCTGTTCTGTCATGCTACCTGTTTTGGTGATGAGTCTGTTTGCTAGTATCCGCACAAACCAGATTAAAATATGAATATGTTAATTGAATTTCTTTCACATTATTCTTAGAATCAAGCTGCGCAGTTCTTCAGCAGTGGTCATACAAACAATTGGGCTGTTCTGGTGAGTATTCATTCATGTATTATCTGTGGGTACATTCAAGCTGCATTGCTTTTCTGTATGAAAACAGAACTCTGTGTTTCTGATTAACCGGCTTTCTACGTCTTTGCCCTTATTTATTTGATACACAGGTGTGCACATCCAGATTCTGGTTCAACTACCGTCATGTGGCAAACACTCTGTCAGTCTACAGAAGTGTTAAGAGGCTGGGCATACCTGACAGGTGACTGTTCCTGACCTTACTATGTCTCCTTTATTGGTTTTTTTAAGCGTTATTGGCTGCACATCCAGTATAATGTGGGTATTTGTTGTTGATTGTCTACAGGTAAATATAAGTGTTTTTTTCAAACTTTGGGAACGGGGCTGTGGCTCTGGCTCAGTGGTAGTATCGGTAATCTGGGTTTGATCCCCAGCTCCTGCAGTCACATGTAAATGGTAAATGGACTTGAGCTTATATAACGCTTTTCTAGTCTTCCGACTACTCAAAGTGCTTTTACACCGCAGGTCGCACCTACACATTCACACCCTTTCACACACTGGTGGTAGTGGTCGCTATGTTGTATCATCCATCAAAAGTAACTAATGCCATTCATACACCACCACTGAAGCAGTGGGAGGAATTCAGGGTTAAGGTTAAGTGTCTTGCCCAAGGACACATCGGACATGTTGCCCAGCTCAACCTTCCGCTTGAGAGGCGACGACTCTACCAACTGAGCCACAGCCGCCCCACATGTCAAAGTGTCCCTGGTGTCCCCAATGTCCCAAGACATAGAATCCCAAATTGCTCCCGCTGCTGATTCATCGGCATGTGAATGGATAGTTCACTTAACGTAGCAGAGTCTGACATCATTGTTTGAATGTGGTGTAACTTAAAGTAGTCAGAAGACTAGAAAAAGTACGATACATGTGCTGCATTTAAAGAAGTATACTAGAATACATAAACTGAAGATGATGTGGATTCAGTCAGCACCTCTGAGCTAACATGAGGCTCATGTTAGTGTATCTTACTAATAGACATACAAATAATTTCTTGTGTCTTGTAATAAAATCAGGTGGCTGTTACCTTAACAATCATCTTCAAATGAAGACACTGAAGAAATAGCATGCTAATGGTTTTTCACCTTTTTACATAGCCATGGACATGTATTTCACAGCATTTCTCCTTTCACACACTCTCAGATGTATTCATTTTAAATGGCCTCTGTCTTTTTCTTCTTTTCCAGCCACATAGTCCTCATGCTGGCTGATGACATGGCTTGTAACCATAGAAACCCCAAACCTGCCACAGTGTTCAGCCACAAAAACATGGAGCTGAACGTGTACGGTGACGATGTGGAGGTGGACTACCGAGGATATGAGGTCTGTTCACATTGCAGTCAAGCAGCTTCACTTAACTCTTTTATAAATGTTTCAATCTGCCTCAGGGTTTCCAAAGTTGTATATCTAGGTGTCAATATTTAAAGGCTGAAATAGGTAATATGTTTTAATGAGTTATTTTCTTTTTTTATCACCATCTGTCTTTGAGCACTGACCTAGAAGACATATGTGGCTTAATTCATCACCTGTAGACTATACTCGGTGTTGAGAATGACTGATGTTTTCGGTCTTTGTTTCAGGTGACAGTGGAGAACTTCCTTCGTGTTTTGACTGGAAGACTCCCGCCCAGCACGCCACGCTCAAAACGGCTCCTCTCTGATGACCGAAGCAACATCCTCATATACCTGACAGGTAATGAGAGGAAAAACCACAGCCTAAATACTGTAATGAAACTCATATTTATCATCAGTGTGTGATGGTAAGTACTGATAGATATTTTACAATGGAAACACTTAATCTACATTTCAAAGCATCAGGCTTGTACATTTCTGCTTTAATTCCTGACAGAATTTCTTTAGTGAACAACAATTAATGATGAAAACAATTCTCGTCGCTTCCTGTTACATGTGCAGGTGAAGTGAGAAGAATGCTGACACGACAGCAATGATGACAGCCTCAACCATAGCCACACTTGCTAAATACAGTATATGGCGTTTTTTGTGAGAAACATCGGGTCTGATCATTTGAGATGTTTAATGTTTAAAAAACAGGTAAACAAAATGTATGATGATACCTGGAGTGGTCACCATTAGTTCTCTATATTTTTCTTTGCAAACTTAAATAATTTGTGGTCCCACTTCAGTCCTTAAATTGTTTATCTTACACATATTCATAAAGGTACTGCACATGATTACTAAGACGTGTTTTCACACTCTTTAGATTTAGTTTAAAGATGTATAAAGTCCAAAAACTAGGTCTTTATCAAGCATTTTGTTTTTCATAGGTATTCATGGATGAATTTAGCCACAGTCCTCTCTGCTGTTGCAGAATTTCAGATCACTTCTTTGTAGTGTGCATTGCTCCCAGTCTTTTTTCATTTTTTCATATTTTCCATTATATATCATATTTGCATTATGAATCACAGGTGAATGAATTATTGATAGTATGTGTTTGTTAAACAGGTCATGGCGGGAATGGCTTTCTGAAGTTCCAAGACTCCGAGGAGATCAGTAATGTGGAGCTGGCTGATGCTTTTGAGCAGATGTGGCAGAAAAGAAGGTAAATAACACAGAAAACGACATGACAATACGATGAAAAGGGACGGGCTCCTGAAGCAAAATACAAGTGCAGTGTTTTTCTGACTGCAAGTTTACTTGAATTTGACTCGTTTTTGAAAGATGCCCGACGTAATGAACTAAAGCAGCATACCGTGATGCCATGACAGCAAGGGAAGCAGTGAAATAAACACAAGTTGCCACCTATTGAATTATTGGAAATGGGTCCTTTTTTAGGTGCTGCTGTGTTTGTTTAGTTTGTAAATTGCAAGACACTTAATGACCAAAAGCGGCTCTCTGCCACCAGCTCCTCTATTGTCCTCCAAACATATCAATGGAGAGTGTCTGGGTTACAGTCACTTACCGCAGGCTGGATAAATGGGTTTAGTAACGGCAGCTTTGATGCTGATGTGATAATTGCAAGCTTGATCTGCTAAATTACAGTCACCATAGAGACTTGGCTACCTTCCACCATCGTTCCCAACCACCTCAGACCAGACGACTGGAAATAAAAGCCTCATCATGTTGAACTGAACTAGGAGTAGCAGTTAAAGTAGAATTTGTGTTCAAATAGAGGGAGAAAGGGAGGAAAGAGCTGTGTGTGTGGGTGTGTTGGAGAAACTGAATGGAGCTTTTGGTTTTTCTTAGTCACCATGGCAACTGCAGTGTGAAAGATGGTTAGGAGGTTTGTTTGATACCAGGTTTTATTGGTACAAATGAATGAATGATATACCAGCGGTGTCTCCTCTCGTAAGTGTTTAAGAATGTATACAATCCTGTGTTTGCATGATCCTGTGTGTGTGTGTGTTTGTCTCCAGGTACAATGAGCTGCTCTTCATCATCGATACCTGTCAGGGAGCCTCCATGTATGAGAGGTTCTATTCTCCAAACCTAATGGCTTTGGCCAGCAGTCAAGTTGGAGAGGACTCCCTGTCGGTGAGTTTTTCTGCCCTGATTAAAAAGAAATAAGTTAAAAATCATCAATCAGTCACATCAACTCACTCGGACTTTCTGCTGGAAAAGAGCAGAAAGTCCGAGTGAGTTTGTTTTTTCTGTCAGAAGTGGAAATAATCAGTTGCTCAATTATACGCTGCTCATATTTCATTGGAAACTTAAAAGGGAAGGTGTGTCATTTTGAGTTTGGTAATAATTTATTTTAAATGTCCAAAAACCAAGAATGCTTTTGCTTTATACTTTTGAATATTTTTAAGTACTTCTCCTCCTGTCCTCTTCTAGCACCAGCCAGATCTGGCCATTGGGGTGCATTTGATGGATCGTTACACCTTCTACCTGCTGGAGTTTCTGGAGGACATCCACCCTGCAAGCAAAGCCAACATGAATGACCTGGTGAGGATGTGTGTGCATGTTTCAATGGGCATTCATTTTACCCAATTTAAGAGTTCATGTGTACTGTAGAGCAGCAGCTAATGTTTATTTACAAAATATAATTAGTTGTTTAGTCTCTAATGTCAGAAAGAAAGGATTAAGAAAGCCCAATGTGACTAATTAGAATATTTTAAACCACCAATCCAAAACTAAAGAAATTCAATTCAAATAACTTTATTTATTTGTGTAAAAGAGCATCAGTGCGCATACAGCTAGACACAAAAACAACAGCAGAAACACACACATACAAGTGGCTCTATTAAAAGCATGATAAATAGGTCATAAATAATTGTTATGAGTGGTCTTCAAAATAAATAAGAAATAGATCATTTAAGTTAAGTTTATAAAAAATATAGTTTTTTTTCCTCAACAAATGAAGTGATAATTATCACTTATTGAGGTGTGATAATTATATTATTATTATTAGTGTTAGTGTTAGTGTGTCATGCAGACACCAGTAGGTCCTGATATACTATGATCAGTGTTGTGTTTGTCTTTGTGCGCTCTCTGCCTGTTATTAATGTGCATTTTCACAATGATGCAGTCATCTGTTTAACACATACCGGTAAATCATTTAGTATACATTTCATTTTAACCCACTATCTTATTTTCAATAATTTTCAATATCTTCAAAGCTACTTTGCCCACCTATATTCACTTCCTAGGAGTGAACATACAAAGTGGCAACCGCCACTGTTGAAAAATGACACCAGAGAATTGCAATAAAACTGCAGTTCCTTGAATGTCCACTTGAGGCTGGCTCCAAAAACCAAGTGGTGCCCATTTGAGCCCATATTAAAACGACTTTCTTTAACTAATCTGATTTGACTATATACATGCATAATGTGTAATAAGACATAATTAGGGGGCGTCTCTGGTTTGACTGAAAGGTTGGCGAGTTTTGACTTTGACTAAATCCTGTCACTGACCTTAGGCTTTCGACTTTTTTTGTGCTTCTTTATTGTTTGGAAATTTCTAGCAAGATGCCGAGCTAAACGTGCAACCAAGCTATTCGCCTCTGCTCCACCTCTCTCTCTGTTTCTTGATAGTATCTCTAATATAGCGACTGCTACGTTTGGGCTTCATTACACCTCTTCAGAAACATATGGGTGATGTCACTGAGACTGTCCATGTTTTATACTGTCTGTGGAGAATACCCGATCTCGCATCAATAACTTCAAAAGAAGTGATCAAAAGTCCATTGTATTGGTTAATTATGTAAGCACACGTGTCAAACATTTGCTAGATGTTGAATAACCTTGTTAATACAAACGTATTAGAGTTGGGCAATATATCGAGTTTTTAAGATATATCGATATATTTTCAAACAAGATATAGAGTAAGACAATATTGTTAGTATCGATATAGTTTATGTTGCATTAAAATAACGTTACAGAGATGCCAGTTCACCTTTTTCTCATCTCACTGATGATGACTGACTGTCTGTTCCTCTTAACCCTGCTCCTCCTCTCACTCTCTTTTATTGTATTTAAGGAACATTTCTATTTTATAATATTACTTTTTAAATTCACAAACAGGTAGTTTATTTTTCCATGTGTTTTCACTGTTGATACATATTAATATATATCGAGTATCGCCATTCAGCTAAACAATATCAAGATATGAGTTTTGGTCCATATCGCCCAGCCCTAAAACGTATCATTAATTTGATTTAACATTTGGTTCAGACAACACAAGCAACCTTAATTAGGGTTCTGATGATGAATAATTTAATAACAGAAAAATATATATTAAAACCCAAAGAATACAACAGATACTCATACAGGAGTTATCCTTTGTGGACTGTGAGTTGTGGCAAAGTGACTCTGTTCCTTTGAACGCATTTGGGATTTGGTACAATAATGAGTCAGTATCTGTCCTGCACTGCCCTCCTCTTCTGCCTCGTGTTTTAAAGTTTCTGGTCCTAAAGGATCCAGATGAAAGCCACACAGGCTCACAGGACTCCTGCACATGAAGCAGAATACCAGATTCTGTGTTTAGGCAGGTTGGCCTTTGACACATGATGGTGGTTGGTGGTGGGTTCATGTTGCTCTGGGCCATGGCGCCTCCATCTCAGCAGCGCCTCCCTTTTCATCCTCTACACTCCTGCAGAGATCTACAGGCCTCAGGGATCACTGCTCATCCCCACCATCCACTCTGCCTCTACAGGAGCTACAATCAAAACACCTCCAATCCTCACTCTGGAAAGAATAATGAGCTTAAGTCAGAGCACATTGATTGAGCTCGGACTGAGTGCCAATTTTCCTTTTTCTATAGCTGCACTCTCTGTTCTGGTGCCATTTTGTGGAATTAAGGATCAATAGTATAGATTTCCCAGACAAGCCCAGCAAGTTATTATTTTTTTTTTTTATCCCCCCGCACATGCTTACCCTGTGAAAGAAAATAAATCACCACCAACTTTCATCTGAAGCCTGCATCAGTCATGTGTTTTTTGAAGTCCTGTTTGGCTGAGGGAGAAAACGTTTAACTTCGTTTAACGATTTTTTTTTTTTCTTCAAGCTGGTAGTCAAATCGGACAACACGCTGATGAATAGCACATTCAAAGAAGATTAACCCACAAGTGGCAACACACGAGGGCATGGGAAAGGCTTGTCATGTTTAATGACATGCACAAATGTCAGACTCTCCATGCCTCTAATCATCTCCACTCACTGATTTTTTTTTAACCCCTCTCACTAGAGCTATAGTCATGTAGAGCTGAATTCAGCCGCTTGCTGTCCGTGCTATAAAAAGTAGGAGACACAAACTCCTAAACACTGTCTATTAAAACCCTCTCTGGCTTTGCTTAAGGGACCTACACCATGTGATTTACTTTCCTATTTGCTAAAGCTCTTGACAGCAGCATTAGCAGATATTTCAGTATTTTTCATTTCATTTCAAACCTTTATTTGAAAATCATTGAGGTTTCCCTCATTTGCAACCATGTCGAGATACAGATCAAAACAAATGAAACTGCACAAATAAAACAACAGAGACAGGTCAGGATGATTCTCAGTAGAAACAATCACACACTGTGGTGAAGTGGTTTGAGATCATTGTCTTAATCTGCCCAAGAGAAACAAGAGTGTCAATCTTGAGAGAGTGTTTTAAATTAATCCACATTTTTGGAGCAAAAAAAGCTAAAAGCAGATTTTCCAAGTTCAGAGTAAACCCGCTGGACTTGAAGCAATAGACATTCAGTAGAGCGAGTGTGGTCCAGTTCAGCAGAGATGTGATGTAACATCGTGTAAGATTTATAGATCAAGACATACATGTGGTTATCACGTCTCTGTGACAGAGGAGACCAACCAACTTTGTTATAGAGAATACAGTGATGAGTGTTATAGGGGTCTCTGGTGAGGAATCTAAGAGCAGAGTGATAAAACTGAATCTAACATTCTGTAGATATTTCCAGCTCTAATGTGTATCTAACTCCTGACACACTGTTGTGTTTCGTCTGCTTTTCCAGTTCAAAGTATGTCCCAAGAGTCAGTGCGTGTCCACTCCGGGCCACCGTACAGACCTTTTCTTGAGGGACCCGGGAAGCGTCCTCATCACAGATTTCTTTGGTAGCGTTCGCAAAGTCGAGATCACCATGGAAACCATCAACCTGACCGAACCCATCAAGACAGTGGAGCAGAAGTAAGTTGTGTTTGTTTGTATTTCTCATTTGTGTAATGTTTTTGTTTACTTTAATATTTTTAAGATACAGTAATTAATAACCTGTTGAGGGAGAAAAGTGAAATAATGAATGTTGAAGTGTTTGATTATCTGAATGATTTTCTTAATCAAAGTTGATGAGTGGAAATAGTTCAAGTCAAACAACTTTATTGTGTGGCAACTTGTTATGAGCAGCTCTAACATAATAGACACAGGGGTGTACAGGAAAGACTTAATCATATTTAAGATCTAAAATATCTAAGAAGATCTGAAGAAATGCTGATAGGAAGCAGACTGATAAATAAACTCATGAACAAAAGGATTGGTCTTGGTAGTAGCTAGCAACAGGTGTTTTCAGACACGTTTAAAATATCCCCCCATCTTTGATCAGCCAAACCTTAGCCAAGTTGTTCACATAATTTGATCCAGATAAGAATAATCTGGATTTGGAAATCCACTTTTTGCTGTCTGGGATCATGAGGTGACCCATCTCACATTTGTCACATTATTTCAATGAAAACCTTGATTGGATCAACCTGATCCAGATCCAGATTATAATCATTTCCATATCTTGATGACTGGGTTCTTAATTATATTTAGTCCACAGGGGGCGCAGTAATCCACACATACTGAACTTAATTAAATGTTATCTGTTTGATATTAATCACTTTTTAGTGAAATATTTAATGGGGATGAAATCCTTCATTCTTTTTCACACTCCTGCAGTCTACCTTATCTTTTATGCTACTGTATGATTTATCAGTTCAAGAGCCAGATAGTGAAAATGTCAACATCTTTGTGAGAAACAGTGGATTTTTTTTTTTTATTACATTTCCTTCCTGTGATCCATCCTGAGTCAGGCCTTCTGGGATCAGGATAATCCTGAGTTTTTTGGATCAAAGTTAACCCAATCCTGAAAAACAAGACTGGATTATCTGATCTTATCCGATTCAGTAATCCTTTTTTTCCTTTTGAGAAAGATTTCATCCAATCCGAGCTTTAAACAATCAGATTACTATTGAACAACCAGGCCGGGGAGTTAAAACCTTTTTTTACCCGAGGTCGATTGAGCTTTCATTGAAGTCAAACTGCAACAGTCTTTTTCCATTTTTTTCTCATAGCCCTATCACCTGACTGTTTCAGACCTTTAGATAAGATAATTCCACTGGGGTGACTGATATATATATATATATATATATATATATATATATATTTTTTTTTAATTATACCAGTGGAAGCTAAAAAAACACTGATCCAATCAGTGCAAGGGGCAAAACTTGCTGTCTTTCTAGAGTGATAACAACGACGGCTACTCTTTAGAAGTGAAAGCATGTCTTTTCAATATCCTCATATATTTTAGTCATCGCATTTGATTCAGGTAGATTAGTTAATGTCAACTCACCTGATTGTGCCAGGGAAATGAAATCAGCTGTAGATAATGTAAGACTTCAGATGAAAACTGAGTGAAACAATTGACACATTGTATTTTTAATGAACCCACATTCATCAGTTCATTAGAAATACAATGTATTCCAAAAAATCATTACAGTCATCCTTATCGCAGATTGTTTGTAACTTTCAGCCGTGCAGTAAAGTCCTACTTGAGCTGGTTTAGATACAAACTGGATGTTAAATCCTTATTTGTGGTCAGCCTCCCCACAGAAGAGCTGCAGCCCAAATTCTTTTTATGTTTTTTATGTTATCAACTAAAAACTTTGATTTCTCTGGGAACATCTCTCATCAGTGATATTCATCTCTTAAATAGCGATGATGTTTTGAGTGAAGTGTACTAGAGAGACTAAACCACAAGGTGGATGTCTCTGTGACTAGCCTGCTGTCCTGAGCTGTAAATTGAGACATTTCAAACTGATTTGAAGGCTGATAGATGGCACAGATGTTTGAGATGATGATAATAAAGCTAATTTAAATGGCATTTCCTGCTGTTAGTAATCACCACCAGCTCTTAATGCTCCTTTTCATAGTAAATCAATGATCATAAACGGACATTTTCTGTGTCTTACCTCAGGCTATGGTTCACTAACTCTTGTTAAGAGATATTGAGTGAGAGCAGTGTTTCTGATTTATTGCCTTTGGCTCCACTGTGTGGTGAACTGGACAAAAAGCATCCTAGTTCAGATAAACGCATGCTGTCGTTGCTTTTGGTAGCGACATGCTGTGATGAATACAGGTGGCCACTAGATGGCTGTAGAGAGCTGTCAAACTCAAGACTCCTCTTCATCCTCTCTGCCTGCTTACATATTGTTTGCCTTCTCATATTAGCCAGACCCCACAGTCACTAATCCCATAATAATGACAAACACCAGTGGTTTGAGGAAACACACAGCTAATGTACCAAACTGCAAACACTGCTCTGTGTATTTACTTGTTAGGCTGTGTGAGAGGAATAGATCGTTGTGCTCTACAAACAGATGTGATGTAAATTAAAATCTTATTCATTGTTGTACTTCCCCCACTTCTATTAATTTCATTAAGCTGGGGTTTAATTGAACCACTGGGAGGTATTAAAGCCAAAGAATCCAATGCGGTCGGGTGCTAATTAGTAATTAGAGGCAATTGTCACACTGGTTTTAGTCATCGTCTGTTATGGCCTCGGGCTAGTGAGTCATTGCACACAACTTCCCCGATTACTTTATTATTGATTAGGGCCAACACATCAGGTCTACTGAACGAAGCAGCACAGAAAAGAACCACACGTGTTGCCCTCATTCAGTCCTAGAGAGCGTTTTATCTGCAAATCTGATGTAAGAAAGCAGCAATCGCTTCATTTTATTGATGCTCAATGAAGCAAAGTTTACTGATGCAGAAACCCAGCAGTGGAGTCTTTCTACTTCTATGAATAAAGGGAAATATTATGATGAAAGTTCAAATCTATTATAGAGGCTAATGAGGAGTTACGTCATTTTGTAGGTTACATTATGCTGTGCTGTTAGCTGGATGAGCTCGACGTCATTAATATTAAACTGTGTTGTGGGTGATACATATTTGCTCTTCTTCACATATATGTGGTTTTCTACTAGCAAATACAGAACAAAGTATAGAATTCTGAAGGTGACAGTATTACTGCTGGTTTTAATACTGGCGGCTGGGGCTCAGTTGGCAGTGTCAGTCGTCTCTCAGCCAGAAGGTCGGGGGTTCGATCCCCACGTCCTGCATCCACCCTGTCGGATGTGTCCTTAACCCCAAGTTGCTGCTTCGTCAGCGGCGTATGAATGGGTTTAGTTACTTCTGATGGGTCACATACAGAGCAGCCTCTGCCATCAGTGTGTGAATGAGTAGGTGTGACCTGCGGTTTAAAAGCACAAGTACTATACAAGCGCAAGTCAATTTACCATTTATCATAATATGTTACCTAAGTGACTTCACATAATAACAGCTGGGCGACACAAAGAAAGCGTAGCTATGGCAGAGTTACTTGTAAAATGTTGAGAGAAAAAAACAGTTTTGAGAATTTTGCAGTCTTGCGCTCACAAATGTTATTTTTCTTTTCACTGACATCATATAATTGAATATTGTTGCCAACATGTTGGCCTATATCAGGTTACAACACCTGTTTTTCTTCAGTTGATACACTGAATTGAATTTCTTTGCCAAGCTGATGAAATTCTGTCACAGAAAAAAAACAGCTTAATGCACCAAAAACAAAGAATTAAAAGCCTATTGAACTTTTATTATAGAAAAGAAAAACGCTTATTCTACTCTACTCTAAAAAACACAAGTGAGCTCTGGACACAATTCAAATCCCTTGAGGACGTTAGTGAAATAAATTGATTGATCTGTTAGTCAATCCAGAGAAATATAAATTATTCCTGTCAGTCATTTGACAAAAAAAAGCTTTATATTTTCTGGTTCCAGCTTCCTAAAAAAGTTATCTGAATGTCTTGTTTGAGTGTTATCTGATGAAACATGCAATTTAAATGTGTCACCTGAGGCTCTTATTAAAATGTGGTTTCACTTGTGACAAAAGCAATAAAATCAGATGGGTTTTTTTGCTCATGAGTCAGATCTGTTTTTACATTAAAGTTCAGAGAACATAATTTAAATGAAATGAAATTCAGGACGCTGTCATAGTCGTACCAAAATCAAATGTTTTCTATTCTGTTTATGTCATTTTGCCAGAGATAGAGGAAGAAGCAAACTCAAGCTGAAGAGTCATATTAGATTTCATACAACTTTTACGTCTCTCTCTGGAGTTCTTTTGTCACCGACCCGTGTTGGTGGAAGCAAGCTCGGTCTAAAACCTATAACTTAAACTGTAAACACTGACTTCAGTGGTCTCCTTGTTTCATTCCACAGGACGGCATGCTTTAGCAATGTCTTTAATATAATGATAAAAACGTTGTCAATTCTGGAATAGACTCCCAATGCCCATAATGAAACTAAAGTAATTCTTGTAATTGATAAAATCTGCGTATTATTGTATTGTAAAAGGCTACTGATAGGCCATTAATTTTTCTTTTTAAGATTTATTTTTGTGCTTTTTGTACCTTTTAATGGAGTCATAGGACAGTGGATAGAGTTGGAAATCATGGAGAGAGAGTGGGGAATGACATGTGGGAAAGGAGCCACAGGTGGGATTTAAATGGACCGCCCGCTTGGAGGACTATGGAGACTACCTCCATACATGGGGCACGCGCACTAACCACTGTGCCACCAGCGCCCCAGGCTTTTAAAATGTATAACTGCTGGAATTGTACAGTGGTTTGTGAGACAAGGAAGTCAGATTTATTTACACTGCACCTTTTAGACACCAGGCAATTCAAAGTGCAAGTGCAGTTGTAAATAGATAGGATGAATTAACCTCTCCTTGATGATACAAAGGGGAAGAAATAGTAAATAAATATCAGAAAAGTATTGCAGAAAAGCCAGCAATGAATTCACCAAATAGCAGGAAATTAAGTTTCATTAAAATTTCCTAGAGGAGGTTCCTTAGACCCCCACTTGAGCATGAAGTGCTCCCTGTGCTGGGGGGCTTCAGTTCATCTGACGTGATGAAACTATTTACTGGCTTTTACCAAACAGATGTAGCTTAGGATGCAGGTGTTGTTGCAACATAACATATGCTGCAGGTTATTCGTTGTGCAAATATAATTTTGCTGTGCACTCTGTGTATTCTCCTGCGTTTTTGTCCTTTGAGAATCACATGCCTGATTATTGATCTTTTGTGCATGTTGTTGAATTCAGGCCCAAGGCCAACTGATACAGAAAGTCTGATTTGGCCACATTTAAGATATTTTGTAAGAAAGTTATAACAAAAAACACACATCTGAAGGGGAAAATATCCAACTAAAGAAGATGGGCATGGCATTTTTATGATCCTGCTGCACAGACAGCACAGGTAAGATTAAATAATAGCGTTTCATAGGTCCTGAAAATGAGCTGTAGTGAGCTCGTAGTGTTCCCCAACAAGAAAAAAAGATCACAGATGTCCCCTGAAACAAGCCGTTATTAAATATAGTGCTGCTTTAATCCACTTTTGTCAGCTCACTCGGCCATCAGACAAGTGGAGGAGGATATTTAGTGTGTGTGTGTGTGTGTGTGTGTGTGTGTGTGTCGCTCTCATGCCTCTCTGATTCTCCTCCCAACCATCTCTAAACAAGAGTTTTTTTAAAATCAGAACAGGCTCTTCCATTAAGTGAATTACACTTGATGGAGGGGACGTTTTAATGGACTCCTCTTCATTATACATAGGCTTAACAGTGTAATGATGATGTCTCGTTGCTCAGAGACAGCCATAGGTGCTTGTTGACCAAAAGATGTCCCAGGATAATAATCATTATCAAATTACAGCTCCATTCATATCTAATCGAGTAGCAAAGTGAGTTTAATCACATTTGTGACCTGCAGCAGTGGATGGATTCTAAAAGAAATGATTCAGGTGATTAGTAGAGCAGATGTTTAAAGGAAATGTGTTTGACCCAAAGATGGCAGCTGGAGACAGCCGTGATACAGAGCTGGGGGTTGGGGGGGGGGCAGCAACATCCATTAGAATCAGCTAACTGGATTGAAAAATCCTCTCCAAAAGTCTCTTCATGGAAAATAAAGTGGAAAGTGGTTTGAATTGAATTAGAGCTCATCTCTTGTGCGAAGTGAAAAGGAGGAGGGGGTGTGGGGGTGATCTGTGGTGCATTCCGTGACATGTTTCCAGTGGCAGAAAGAGCTGAGAGCACATTCAGGGCTCAGCAGGAGCTCGTCTACCCGCCCGGCAGCCCAGTTTTTTTTTTTTTTTTCTGTGGGAGCAACTTCTGCTTCCCCTTCTGCTACGACACGGTGAGAAAAAGAAAGTGAAGTCGAATAGAAAGCAACAAAGACAGAAATAAAGAAGGCTGGACAAAAGAGCAAAAGCCAGAGAGGAAATGTAGAGGAAAGTATTTTGAAGGGAAGAAAGAGACAAAAAGGAAAAAAAGGAGAAGCCAGTTTTTTCATACAGCAAGTGGATGGAGAAGAGCCACGCTGGTCAGCAGCTGTCTGACCCCATCTTTCTATGATGAGAAGAAGACAGTCACCCAGGGGAACCTCCACTCCACACTGACCTTTACCTGAAACTCAAGGTTTCTGACTTCTTATCAAACTGTGAGGCTGCAGAGAAACAGAAATTCAACAGCAGACTTGCATAGAAGAACTCAAACATATCAAAACTGTTCACTGCAACTCTGCCTTACTGTTGGATCCAGATATTTTATTAACATTGTTTACAGGTTTGATGTTGTTTTGACAGTTGGATATCATTCATTTTGTTAATTTTAAGCTCAAAGTTTTTTTTTTTTGATTTGGCCCAACAGAACATGGTTAAAATACAATACAGGAACACATTTTTAACTAAGCGAAGAGTAATACAATCAATGAAACATAATCATAAAAAAATTGCAATATATAATTAAAAGATATTTAAGTCATCGATTGTCCAAAGGATTTATGGTAAACAGGATTCTTCAAAGAGAGCAACTAGGGGAAACCAGCTTTAAAAAAAAAAAAACTCCTTAATTTTGTCCTTCAGAGCAAACTGGAATTTTTTTCAACATGGATGGGCACCGCACCTTCCAGGTCACTTCTGTACCAAATGTGCTCCTTATACTTTACTCTAATGTGGTTACATTTAAAGCTGCATTCAGTAGCATTGTTTGCTGCAGCGTGTAAACACAACATTCCTCCTGGGCTCATCACTTGTACCGGCTGTTAAAAATCTAAATCAGACAAGTGTTGAATGTGCCATGTTTGGAATTAGGCTTATTGCAATATTCAAACTTAGCATAATGTTCACCTGAAAAGAAGTCTTATCTGAAAAGTTTTCTGGGGGCTTCGTCTGACTGAATACATTCTGCTTCTCAAGATGATGTTGCTCTCATCCCGTCATTTTAAAACAGGCTCTGTAATTCCGCCTAAAAAAGCTACTGTTATATTTTTTGAACATACATTAGGATCCAATTAGGTATTGGTTTGATGCAGATTTGGTGGTGTAATGAGTGTTCACTACAGCAGCAGGATAGGATACGTGGGGTTTACTCAAAATAGGATAATACTTTACTGATCCCCAGAGGGGAAATTCGGGAAAAATGAATGACAGTCCCCATGTTCATAGTAAAGATATAAAATGTAACACAGTGTGAAGGTGTGTCTCATTAATACTCTTTTAATGGACTTTAGGACACAATGAAAGCAGGAGAGTCCTGATGATGGCTCTGTGTCTGAAAGGTCGCAGGTTTAATACATCTTGCCTCACATTAATTAATGTCTATCAATCAACTGCCAAGCTGTGACCTTTTTAAGAGTCCTTGAGCAAGACACTGAGCATCAACTTTCTCATTAATCCAAGTCGCTGTAGCTGTGAGCTTTAGTTCAGTGCTATAAATTCAAATTCATTTTTTTTCTAACCCGTAAGTCACATATGTTTTAAGGACAGCTTCTTAAAGGCTCAGAATGGTCCATCTTTTTACTTTGTAAACGGAGCGGTTTCTTCTGACAACAGTTTATTCATCCGGCCTTGGACCCAAGGATACACATACAAAGTTCTTAAAGTATAGCTTTCTATGAAATGTTGCCTCTACAGTTCAGTAAACACTTTGAGAGTGTGTTACTTCTTAGAAAACATGCACAAAAGGAAGAATGTTTTGATGTTTATCTTTTAACACTCCATCACTTGAATATGTCTTCTAAGTTACAAAGAGATGACGATGTGGGGACTTACAACTCTTAAAGGGACATTTTTAGTTCCCTAGAAACACTTACGATTTTTTAATTTGCTGTGAACAAATTTAGTAACAAATCAAGTGAAAAAAACACCCTGCTGATAAACTGCAGTACTTAGAAGGGAAATGCACCGTTTTAACTAGGGATGCATTGGCTCAACATCGGTATCGGCTGATATCGGCAGATATCCAATGTGTTCGATATCTGATCGTAAAGTATTGTGGCATGAACTGATGTCAGTAGCCGATGTCTGTTTTTTTGTGCCAAATAATTTAAATGCTGGAATCTAGTACACCTGACTACTGATTCAGAGAAGAGGTTTATTATAAGGGTTTGTAGACGTGCTAGGGACACATAGGGTTCCAAAAACATGGTTAAAGTGTAATTTGCAAAATACGTGACCTTTAAATAGGCTGATTCAAAAGATTGGACACAAGGCTCTTTATCATTACAATTTTAGTTGCACAGACTGAATCAGGTCATTTGGATTGTCTGAAAGAGATTGCTGAAGTTTGAAACACGTTGTGTGCCAGTCAGAACTTAATTTGAGTTATTTGTCTCATGTTGTGCTGGTTATTTTTTTAACTTGTGGAGTTGATCATATTTTCTTGCTTGTTCTTCACACTTAAGGTTTTTTTTAGATGAGAAACTTTCCTTCCCCTGTTTTTTGGATGGAGATTTTTACCACACTAAAGCTTTACCATGTATTAAAGTATTACCATGACGACGCACTTTTAGAGCACTGTTTGGTTAGATTCAGGGCAGAGCTGATGTTTGCTGTGTAGCACCAAAACCAAACATTAGCCGTGATAGTTTGTTTACCGTTTCAGCAAATACCACATGAGGATTGGAGCCGACTCTGAAGCTCAGACTAACTTTCATTGATTGCTACATCGATGTTCAGACTTGTTTTAGGAAAACTAACCAAAACACAGTGCATTGTGGGTAGTTCAGGGGGTCTGGGAGTTTGGAAGTTTTACTGATGTAGCTGAAGTTGAAACATGGTGTTTCATTATCTTAAGAGATAGATCATAGATGCAGAATAACTTCATTTTTTCCTGTTTTTTTCCATTTGTTTTGTCCTTTACACTTCGGTAACGATATACACAGAATCCTTTTCCAGTCACATCAATTATTGTCACTCAGATGTTTTTCCCACAGGATGATTTATTTTTTCATTCATCAAGAGGAAAAATGAGTTCATTTGCATCAATTTGCACTGCATATCATTGACTCGGCTCTGAAATGATCTGTCAATCATACACACCTCTGCTTTACACTCTCTGCCAAGAGAAACACTGGAGTCTGTTCCTCTTCCTGACAGCTTTTCAACATCATTGAATGATGGCATTCCACACTTTGAAAGCTTAATGTTTCCAAAGCCCAGTCTATTGACTTCAGGTAAATGCTAAACTGTTCTGTTCTGTTCTGTCTTCCAGTCCTGTGAATGGAGAGCTGGAAAAGGAGACGTATTCATACTTATATGTGGATCAGCTGCCTGTGTCTGAGATCATCCATCAGGTAAGAGACCCTTGCAGACATCAGGGTCAGTTGAGGACACTAAAGACCATGTGATGACGTTTTTTTTCCCTCCATCTCTTTTTGCCTTTTGCGTCAGCAGCCGTTCATTCAGGCTCCTGTGTTGTCGCTTCTTGATTCAAAGTGCGTCCACACTCCTCCTTAATTTGGACTCAGAAAGTTACGTGCAACATCCACCAACAGATTCATTGTGTCGTTTCCATGGTGACAGCTCTAACTGTGAAATGCAAGTGCCTCCTGGTCTCAGCGTGCAGGGGCCACCGTGAAATCCAGCAGAAATGGATAGGCAGCGTTTTGGGGTGGAATTGTGCATTCACCTCGTTCCCAAATGGATTGTGGCTTTCAGTCGAGCTGACCTTCACAAATGAACACCTATTCCTCCTCATTGCACTTCTAAGAGCGTCGTGCTCTGCATTCAAAACAGTCTCCGCTTCTGTGTTCTGTAAGATTTTCCATTATGAGCCATATGCAAAAAAAAAAAAACGATTTCTATACTTCGCCTTCAACTCTTTGCTCCCGAAATAATAAGGAAGTCATATTAATCTTTGCTGCAGGGGCAAAAGCAGACATTAGTTTAGCTAATATTTGGGCCCAGCTGCCACGGAGAAACCCATACTTTAATAATCTGAAATCGAATGCATTAATGTGTCCATCTACACAGAATCATTCAATGCAATAAACGCTCGAAAAGTACAAAGTTTGTGAAGTTTATGGTCAAAAGTTTTTGAGACTTTTTTTTTTTTGATTATTTGAGAGAAATGTTCAGGACTGTATATGACTTTACTCTGACAGCTTCTACAAATAGAAGCCACATTGAAAGCCACATACAGGTATTGGATGTTATTTTAAAGACCTTTCTGTTAGTGTGTCCAGCCTGAATCTTTGCAAAATCGGCAAAATAATCTACCTAACCTCTGATCAATGCACCAACATCTGGCAGAGATTGCCATTTTGGGTCTTTATTCAAAAAACTCTAAAGTACAGGAGGTAGTAAGATCTTGTTCAGGTATCTTACCATGTAAAAGCAGGGTTTGGATCCTTCTTCTTTCTCAGGTAAATTAACAAGTCTGTGGGAAAACCCTGTCTGCGTTCATTGTTGCACCAACAGCTGGCTCCAAATAGTGAAGAAATGAATGTATGCATACGAATTAATGATGATGTAACTTCAATCAGAGTTCAAATGAATAAAAACACGTACATAAGATGCATTGTTATTCTAGAAGTTTAAAAATACTCCTCTAATGTTCTTTACTTGAATATATGTTTCCTCTTTGAACCCACCTGAAATTACCATTTTAAGACGAGCTTCAGATCAGCTGTGTTATTCCAGAGGTTTGCCCGTCTGTATTTAAACTAACTGGATGATCTAAGTACGTCATTCAACTTCAATGAATTCTTATTTCAGGATCTGAAATCTCAAATATTACAGTTACATCTTCATTACTGTAATTAACAGAACCAAAAGTAAGGCAGACTAGTTCATTGGATTTTTCCATTGAGGACAAAGTGACAACTGGGCAATTGTTTGTCTCACTGTAGTTAAACACAAGCTTCAGACCTTATATTGTGAAGTCAGAGCCAAAGCTGAGGATCAATGATTGTAACCACTTCCTAAAAAAAATCACAATTGTAGCTTTGCTGTTTTGATCAGTACACAGACACAGAAGGACAAAATGATGGTCCTCCAGCAAAAAATGTCAGAGATTTGTTTAGTGTGGACGTGTCAGAAAGGCTTCTGTTCACATTTCAGCGACCACAGCAGAGTTGGAGTTGCTGAGTTTTTATTTGACTGTGATGTTAAGCTCCACTATGAAGACAGAAATGAAGCGATTGGTGTTTATAGTAAAGGTCAGATCCAGCTGAACCGAGTAAGTGATAATTCTTTTTTTATACATCAGAAAAATCCTCGGGTGCTGCTGCTGGAAACATCTCTGTCGTACATCGACTTCAGTGCGAACAAAGGTGTCACAGTCAGCTGGCCCAGAAGAATGAAGCTGACCACAGGCCTGAGCTCTGTCGGAGGCTTATTGAGTATAGTGATGGAAAAGAGGTGGGGTGTACGCGCCCTGCGGCACTCTGAGAAATTGAGACTCAGAACTGCCTTGGAAGCCCGGAAAACATGGGTCAATTCTGGTCCTGCTGCCCCCTTCTTATATAAGATTAGAACATCAAATGTTGCCATAAAAATTCAAAACACAGTAGCAATCACACTATTGAAAGTCACACCAACATACCTCATTAAGCTTTTGGCGTCTTCTTTGTTTTCTGATTTGGTTCTCTCTCTCCTCTGTCTTTTTTATAATTACTTCTTTCAATGCATCTCTTTACATATGTTTCTGTCTTTCTCTTTTTTTTGTAAGTCTCCTCTCCTCTTTTTTTAATGCACCCACACGTACAACTCACAAACACCCTCGTCAACCCGGTGACCCCTGCCAGAGATTTCGATTATCGGCTCGCACTCCTGCTGGGCTGAAGATGGGAGTCCTGACAGACTGAGTCATCTCCCCCTCCTCACCATAATCCATCTGCAGTGCAGCAGAATGACCAATGTCCACACAGCTTATTGACAGCTTTCCTATTTTTGATTAGCTGTCATATTGTAACCAAGACTCCCTGAGATATCTGTGTTTTCTGCCGACTAGGCTGCGGCCTTTGACGCACTCATCTGAAGAACTGGAACCTGATTTGATTGAATCTCATAAGATTTGATGCCTAAAATGTTCCTAAGTGGTGTGTAGCTGATTTCTGCCACCTACAAAAAAAAAACCCCCACTATGTTTATCTTCTTAAGAGAAACATTTTCCATTTGCTAGGAGACCAGGGGACGGCTTGTAAATAGAAAAGTCATCACAGTGAGTGACAGTGTATATATATAGCTGTGCTGCATAGCGTCTGTATACAAACCTCGCCTCATTGTGTATTTGTGTGTATGTGAGGAGTTGATTAATGCCCTGTCACTGTTGGCAGTTGACTCGCTGCTGGTGACGGGGTGAGTCCCCTCTTCCTGACACCTTCTCTTCCCAACCGCACACATCTCATCACGCTGCCAATGCCTAATCACAATATGCTCCATCCTGAAAAAAAAACTGAAAGGAGCTCCTCTCTCTTGTGTTCTCTACCTTTTTCCTAACTCGCTTTTCTGCGTCCTGCTCTCTGGCGTCAAATTGTTATTTGTTCCTTTGCCAGCTTGACGCCTCACACCATATGGCTCTAGAGAAATGAAAATGAAAACACTGAAAATTAAAGCTTTGCCTCCCTGCTGTGCTCTCGACCCTCACTCAGTCTGCAACTCTGACACTTTTCAAGTGGATATCAGGGTTGTGTGGCCTTTATTATTGGCCAAATACCCAACAGAATGCTCCTCTATTTAATCATATTTATTATTGAATTTGCTTATTTGCATTGTCTGTTACAAGTAGTTATTTAATTTGTTTATATAAAGAAGAGGTTACCAATGCAATGCTTGAACATCAGTATCGGCTGACATTGGTCCTGTTGACAGACGTCGTTCAAATAATGTGGCATGCACTGATTTGAGATTTTCCATACTGACACATTCATGTAATGCTGGCAAGGTAGTATACCTAACAGCTGATTCAGAGCTGAGTTTATTCAGGAAGAGGGACTACTAACAACTATTCGAACACATCCAATCACATAGCTTATTAAAAAAAACAGACAGAGAATTACAAAGAAATAATGAAAATAACATCAGTAACAGCTCATTTGTGATTTAAAAATTGGTAATGGATTCAACCCAGATTTTCACAAACGATGCTTGTCCTATATAAACTTTGCCTTGATATTGATATTGATATCCCTCTTTTTGGAAGAGATCCTGGCTAAGAAAGCTCACTATTACAAAGTTACAAAACTTTACCCAATCCAGACATAGCATTGTATTATAAAGAAAATTCAGAATGGAAACAGACGAAGAACAGCATTAAGATTCAAAAAAAGAAAAAAAAAGTTTAGAAACATTAATTTCAGAAAATAGTATTGGCTATACTTAGCCCTATTCAGACTGCAAAAAGCGGTCTGAAAATGGCTTTTATTTGGTTGTTGTTTTTTACTTGAATAACAAATATAACTTTTAGCCCTTTCTTTTAGTTTTGTTGTAAAATATGTGCAGCTTGATAAACGTCTTTAACAGGTAAAAAGTGCACTTACTGTGTAAATGTTGGATGGGTGAACCAAAGTTAAATGGCACTCTTTACGAATAATCTAGTTTAGAAACACAAATAGGATGAACTTGAACAATTGACCCGTCTTCTTGTCCCAGTATTTTCTTCCAGATGAAACTGTTTAGAGTCCCGGCTGTGCACACTGTCTGCTGTGTCCCACTCTGTACAACATAAGACTGTCTGCAGGTTTGACCTTGGCGTGCTACAGTTTGGCAGGGCGCTTCAGACCTCCCTGAATGACCATTAGCGTCCTGCATGGCCTTGTTAATTAGCTCCAATCATTCAGGTGGGAAGCCGTTAATTGATTTTTCTTGTGAATTGAATACGCGACACAAAGCGTGTGTTACAGAGGCAGGCTGCCTGAGTCTCGGCTCTTGTCCTTGGCAGAGCGATGTGAATGGTTTTCTCAGTGAAGGTCAGCATGCACTCACATGTTTTCTGCTCCTGTCTCTCCTTGTACGTTCTCTCTTTTCTCATTTCCTTTTTACCTCTGCCTCCTAAAGGTTTTTTTGAACTGAATCCTTTTTGTTAATCTTCGAGAAGTCAAAAAAATCTTCTCTTTAGATATTGCTTAAACAACCTGTGCTCACTGAGAACAGCCTCATCTTTTAGTGACAGTAAGTCTCTTTAGATGTTGCTTTCAGAGTTTTGTATTGAAAGAAGAAGTTACCATCAGCCCAATATCAGTTTGTCTTTGAAGCTATAGTGTATAGACTCTGTTAGAAAATGTTCAATTTTGAAAACATTTAACTTAATCATTATTTCAATAAGCAAAAAGTTCCTGAAACTGTTTCCAGT